TAAAACTGCAAATGCTGGAAGATTACTCTCTTAGCTTCTCCTTTCTCTCCTTTGATGACCCTCTAATGACAAGTGTTCTGGCCTATATCCAATGACAAGACAGAACAAAGAGAAAAACAAAAGGAATAGCAACCAATAAGAGCTTGCTCAATTTATTGCCTAACCATTTTCACCATTATGTCTTTTTAGTCTGCCAGTTATCCTTTGTTATGTTATCTCTTGTTAATCTGTTATTTTTATAGTATTGTTAGCCAGTTTTCTTCAGAATGAGTGAAGAAAAGAAGTTTCTTTCCTCTGTTACAGCACTCAAGACAGTGTGAATGCTAGTTTATCAGTCAGTGACTGACATGGAACATGAACATTATCAATCCTAGATGCATAATTTCCTTACTATGATCCAAGCTTCACAGATGAGGAAACTACCTTTAGAAGTGGGTGGTCCAAAGTGGGGAGTGAGAACCTTGAACTTGATCTCAAAGTCACAGCATTTAAAACTTGGTAGATACAACTTGTGGTTTTCTGAAAATCCCTCAGACATCTTGCTGGTGGATTCACAAAGATGATAGTTTAATTCATACTAAAGTCAGAATTTCTGGCCAAAAGAGTTTTGAAAAATCCACTGTATGAAATGACAAGGTTTTAACTTTTCTGAGTATGGGATTTGAACAATTATATTCATCTATTTCATTTTCCAAATTTAAGTGCAAATGTTGATAAGTTAAAACTGGAGAGTAACTATAATATCTGCCATCATATAATTAATTACATCCTTATATTTACTTCCAATTAAGTCACCAAGTTTTCCAAATATCACAAACTCATGTGAACCTGAAACAGTAATCATGTTCCATATTTAAAAACCTGATTTTTATCGTTCTATCAGTAAGTAGGTGTTTTTAGTGTAAAGTTTAGGACAACCTAAATGAGATTCAGTACTTGTAACTGATTCTGAGGACATTGCAGGAGGATCTCAGACTTGATGTAAGGCTAGAGAGATCCTGTTTCAGAATCTCTCATCTAAAGTTAAATAAGGGAAAGAAATAGTTTGACTTTTTAAAAATTAACTGCTATTTGATTTTTAAAATTAAGCTGGGCTCTGGTGTATCACACCTGTAATCCTAGCTACTCAGGAGGTTGAGATCTGAGGATCATGGTTCAAAGGCAGCCTGAGCAGGAAACTCCATAAACTCTTATCTCCAATAAACCACTCAGAAAATTGGAAGTGGTGCTGTGGCTCAAGTGGTAGAGTGCTCGCCTTGAGCTGAAGAGCTGAGGGACAGCGCCCAGGCCCAAAGTTCAAGCCCTGTGACTGACAAAAAATACCAGAGTAAAATAATTGTGTTTCTCATTCATAGACAGTTTGATTGTTGAATACAGAACTTTTGTTTCACAGAAATAACCACTAAGTTATGCAAAGTAACTACATTTAGAATGTGTCTGATTTTAAGAAGACTTTAAATGCTTGTTAAATTTTAAGTCAATTATGATGGATCTCTCACATAACACAAATATGTAATTAAAAAACTGGTATAGATTGGATAAAAACTTACCCAGGTGCAAATTTCTCCCCATAAAATTTAATAAACTCCATACATTGTGCCTTCTGAATGTACCTTTGCCCACTTTTCATGACATGATTTTATGTAAAAATACAGTATTGTGATTGAAATAAATTTTCTCTCTCCCTCTCCCTTCCTCCTTCCCTTTCAGTCTTCTCTCATTTCCTTATGTTATACTTTATTTCTTTGTTCATTCATCATAGTTTAACTCAGTCTCCTAAGCTCTTAGAAACATCTCTTTACGTTTCTGTCTCTTCTTTGTCTTTTCCATCAGATCCTTTCCTGTCCTAGTTACCTTCATCTTCATTCTGGAGTCTTAACATTTTCTCCACTTCAGCAAAGTGAGATTGATTTGTTATTAAGGAACTGCTTGTGTTGGGATGAATACTCTGGAGGTTGGTTCTCTCTCTTGGGTCATTAGGTTTAGTTAAAAGATATATGAACTTATACTGTCTTTCTAAATGGATGGCTGCAGAATCTTTCCAATCATTTTATTTTTAGAAAACCATTGTAAAATTACTAGATTTGTGGAAATGAAATGTTTTTAGTTTTTTACATATAATAATAATTTCTATTAATTTATAGAATGAGACTTCTTTTTCTTGAATGAGCCACGAAGTTTAAAGAGTCATGAGAAATAAGATCCAACAAAGATTAAACAACTTGATTTTTGGGAACCTAATTCTTGTGTAGAATAAGTGCTTAGCATAAACAAGACCTGGGTTCGATTCACAATAGTCCCAAAATAAAGGAAGCAAGTTTGAATTAACACATAAATTCATAATGTATCATTTTTGTACTTTGACCAAATATATCAAAGAAATCTGTAATCTTACCTACTCAGGAGCCTGAAATTTGGGTATGGCAGTTTGAAGCCAGCCTAGGCAGGAAAGTTGTGAAAATCTTATATCCAATTAACTACCAAAAGAAAAAAAAAGCCAGAAGTGGAGCTGTGGTTCAAGTGGTAGAGCACTAGACGTAAGTAAAAAAGCTCATGGAGAGTACCCAAACCCTGATTTCAAACCCTGGGTCCAGCACACATATGCACATGCACACACAAACATACTCTGTCTCTGTCTCTGTCTCTCTCTCACACACTACGCACACACATTCTAGCTCTCACAAAATAAATAAATTGAAATTTTAGTATCATAGCCATGCATCTGCCTCCACTGCCAACACATTGGTTTGTTGTTCTGTTTGTTTTGTTTTTGTTTTTTTTTAGATTTGATCTTTCTTTGCTAGTCTGGCCTCAAACATTCCATCTTTCTGCTTGTGCTTCTTCAGTAGGTGGGGTTACAAATCTTAGATCATTAGTCTTGGTTTGTGTAAAACACATTTAGTATCAAATGAATCACAGTGTAACCACTAAATCAAACTCTTTGCAAAACTTCTATGAAGTATCTTTTTTACAGTAATTTCAAGAAATATTAGAAAATCATGGTATTGACCATGCACAGGATAACAAAATGTTTTGTACTTTTGATCATTTCATTAAAGTAGCCTTAATGTTTTTGCACAATGTCTCCAATAGATTCTCTTTACGATACATATACCCCTTCACCAGTCCAAATCCCTGATGGTCACCCCTAAGATCCAGGACAATGGACCCTCTTCCTACTTCTCTCTTCTTTCTAATCTTCCATAGCTGCTCACTTTATGGCAACTTCTGTGGCCAGCACCTAGGGAGACAAGGAGTCAGGAGGAGAGATTGGACTGTACCAGATAAGCATAGAACTTCACCAACTTCATCTTCTTTACTTGAAGCTTGAGGGGGTAGGGAAGGGCACAGGAAAAAAGAGGAACACAAGGCTCTCTGGCAACTCCTGCATGATCAGGATACACCTGCCATGCCTCCTATGCTGGCCTGGTTCATATCACTGACAGCCAATTCCATTCCTGCAGTAGGAGCCCCACGGACATTTATCTCCACTCTGACCAAAAAAATAGATCATTCACTGTGGAAACAATGGTTGACATGATGTGTATTCATCTTAATCTCTTGTTACCAAATCAGAATTGAGTGTTCTACGTGTATTGGATTCCAACTATCACTGAATACTGTGCTTAGAATGGAGAAAGTTTAATCTAGAAAGTATTGCAATAATCATAGGAATATATTCAAATGTCCATTCCTAGACTGAACAGTATTATGAAATATCGAGAGGAGAAGATTGCAATATGGGTGGGGAAACTAGGTTTTCACAAGTTTATATCATTCAGCCATATATTGTACTGCAAACAAAGCAACCAAATCATCTGTTACAGAGTTACCAAAGTTACTCTAATCAGTTACAATACAGATAATCAAAATTTATGACATTTATGATTCTATCATTTTTTGGTTTATTAGCAATCAGTCTTCTAAAGGAAAAAAATCCTCAGGGCTTTGATTGTCTTTTCTTGTGATATAAAACACCTTTTAGGAAAAAAGAACAGTGAAAAATAACTAGAGAATTATGCAATAAATGCAATATTATCTAAATACTTAAATCAATAAAATGTTACCAATATAAATATAAGTAAAGCTAGCTTATGATTACTGTCTCTTCTGACATTCTTCTCATTAAACTCTAATAATAGGTTCATGGTTACATTGAGGACATTTGTTAAACATATTGCGTTTATTGAGGGACAGAACACAAAGTGGTGTGACCTTTAAAGTCTATCAGGAAAAAACATAAAGATAAATAAATGTGTTAGATGTGAGAAAAGTTTCATTTGAATTATATTTCAGGATAATGTTGATGGCATACAAAGAAGTTGATAGATGTTTGATGTTTGAAGACATCATTGACTATATTGCTTTCCATTTACATAGTTAAACTGAATAAAACACCAATAACATAAATGAGAAGAGCACAACATCAATGAAAATTCACAGAATTGTTGGATTATTTTCTTAGCAACTAGCAATTAAATGTAAAGTTTAGAAAGTTATTCTAATATGACACAGAATTTCCGGGTACATTACACAGACTATATAGATATATCTTTATGCTGGAGGCACTAGTGAATAATCTCTCATGATTAATGTGACTTTTACTATAGTTTTGACAGATTCCTTTTTTTGGTGGGGGGTACGGTTGTGGGCCTGAACTCTGGGCCTGGGCGCTGTCCCTCAGCTCTTCACCTCAAGGCTAGCGCTCTACCACTTGAGCCACAGCGCCACTTCTGGCTTTTTTTTAATGTGGTGCTGAGGAATCAAACCCAGGGCTTCATGCATGCAAGGCAAGCACTCTACCACTGAGCCACCTTCCCCGCCCAGTTTTGACAGATTCTATAGCTTGTCTTTAAACTCAGATTAAAAGCATTAACCTTCACTGATAGAAGTAAAACTCATTCTGAATCACAGTCAGGAAACAAAAAAGATTTTCTTTTCTTTCTTAATGACTTTCCAAAGTTACAAAAATCATTCCCTGTTAACTAAGAGACACTCTGTCATAGGCACAGATGCTTGGAGTTGCTGATGGAAGTGAACTTCTTAGCCTTGAGTCTTTGGAGCAACCTCATCAAAGCCCATTTCATGTCACTGTTCCTCAGGCTGTAGATGACAGGATTAAATACTGGCGGCAATACAGTATAGATCACAGAAAGCAGTCTGTCAAGAACTGAGGGTGTACTTGAAGGTGGTTTGAGATACACAATACAAGCAGTTAGCATAAAAACAGTGAAAACAAGGAGATGGGGGAGGCATGTGGAGAAAGCTTTGGACTGACCTTGAGTAGTAGGAATCTTAAGCACAGTGGAGAAAATATAAACATAGGAGATCACAATGCAGATGCAGCAAGACACGCCTGCATACATGCCAATTGCTATGCTTACATATACTACAATGGGTGTTTGAGAGCATGAAATCCTTAGTAATGAGGGAATATCGCAGAAAAACTCTGGGATCACGCTGGAGCCACAGAAAGGCATGGAGAACGTGCCAGCTGTGTACACAGCTCCAAAGAGTCCTCCAAGGGCCCAGGATGCACCTGCCAGCAGAGCACAGGCCCTGCCATTCATGATGACCTCATAATGCAGGGGGTGACAGATGGCCACATAGCGGTCATAAGACATGGCAGTGAGGACAAATGTTTCTCCTGCCGCGAAGGAAGTCATCAAGAGTATCTGGAAGGCACATCCCAGAATGGAAATGGAATTGTTGTGTGTGAAGCTGTCAATAATAAAGTTTGGGACTGGAACAGATACAAAAGAGACATCCAACAGAGACAAGCTCCTGAGGAAGAAGTACATGGGTGTCTGGAGCTTCAGGTCCAGGGTGATGAGAGCGGTGATGAGGAGGTTACTCATGAGGGCTGCCAGGTACAGCAGCAGGAAGAGCACACCATGGAAAGTCTGCAGCTCGGGCTCGTCAGAAAACCCCAAGAGGAAGAATCCTGTCACCAAGGAGACATTGGCCATACTGGACTCTCTTCACTGCCTGCCAAGAGGGCAGATATGGAAGCAGGTTACAATTTGCACAGAAACATCTATGTGTAACCGTTTACTTGGGAGGACTCATAACTATGTTAGTTAGCTCTGAAGTTGCATACAAACTTCATTCCCTTTTTCTTTCCTCTACTTTAACCAAATCTTTTTCTCTGTATGTCTGTCAGTTTCTTTCCTTCCTTCCTTCCTTCCTTCCTTCCTTCCTTTCTTTCCTTACTTCCTCCCCTCCTTCCCTCCCTCCATCCCTCCTTCTCTCTCTTTCTTTCCTTCTTTCTTTCTCTCTCTCCCTTCCTTCCTTCCCTCCTTACCTCTCTCCCTCCATCCCTCTCTTTCTTTCTTTCTCTTTCTTTCTTCCTTCCTTCCTTCCTTTTTTCCTTCTTTTTTTCCTTCCTTCTTTCCTTCCTTCCTTCCTGTCTGTCTGTCTGTCTTTCTTTCTTTCTTTCTTCTATCTGTGTCCTACCTATCTAATGTTCTATGTATCTATCTGTATGTATGATGTATAAATGTATGTATGTATGTATCCCTGTATGTCTGTCTGCATCTATCTATCTATCTATCTATCTATCTATCTATCTATCTATCTATCTATCTATCATCTATCATCTATCATCTATCTATCATCTATCTCTCACCTTGTTCTCTATCTTTTATGCTAGAGATTGTGGGAATTGTACATGCTGAGAAAGTAATCTACCACTAGCCTACACCAGCAATATCTACTCAATTGTTTTTCATGCAAACTAATTGTCAAGGTAAGGTGTAGTCTTGCTTTTCTTTCTTAAATTTTGAGACTGAGATTTCAGAAGGACTTGTTAGTTATTGGTGCTCTCTTACAGACTCTTAAGGATTCTCTTTGGAATGCTCAATTTATTCAGTGATCTAGAACAATAATTAGAATGTTTTCAATATAAAGTAATGGTTAAAAACAAGAATAGACAAGACAAATACCCTATGTGTTCACTGGATAGCATGTATTTGTATGGAAACAATATACTTCTCCCTATAAATACGTACAGTTGCTACATTTCAAAATTTTAAGAAAGTAAATAGCAACTAAAATCCTAAAATGATATCAAGTAGTCTTTTCAGAAGTTCACTTTATCCTCAACCTTACTATTCTATGAATGGCTATAAATTCACTAAATACCAATGTTGTCCCAATCTACTGAGCATTTACATCAAACAATTTTGTCTTATGTTTCAAGACAAATCCTTTTGCTGTAACATAAGCTTAGATTCTGCTTTTCATGAAAGCATTGACTTCACCAGGGACTGCAGATGCCCCATGATATAAAAGCTTGGGCTTTGAGCTTTTCCTTTGTGTCTGTCTCATTGCCTTAACTTTGTCTTTTTGATAGCAAATTTATGTACTTAGTACTTATTAAACTCCATATGGTACTATACACATCCTGTGAGATTTTTCTACTAATCAACCATAGAAATAACTCTTGAAAGGATAGTCTTCTATTGCTTTAAATTGTGAGTCAATTTTTCCTCCGTTCTGTATTTAGGCATGATTAACCTTTAAAGGGAAGTCATGTACTCAATATCTGACTTATGTAACTGTACCCTCTCTGTAACACCTTTACAATAACAACTTAAAAAATGGTCATTCATCCACAAGGTTAAAGACATTTAGATAATGGTAGCCAAAGTATCTTCCATACCTTACCAAGTAACACCTTTTATAATGTCATGCTAAATTTCTCCAGAACAGTGTGTCTTGTAGGCAGATCATTCCATGATGAGTTGCCCCTGTATGTAAGATCATAGATTTGATTAAAAAAACATTCTGTGAACAAATGAAATTATGCCATGAGCAGTGGTAATTTCCTTATTACACAAGCAGATTGTCTTCCAGCAGAGCCAATTTTCTTCACACCAATAAAACTGTGAATAGACTTTAGATATTGACTGACCAAAGATGCTTGCATGTATATAACTATTCTCTCTTTCCATATAGTTTTGGAGCATCTGTCAGTACCAGTGATGGTAGAGTTGTAGTAGTACTCAATCTTTCTTTTTTACTTAATACAGAGAAAAAGTAATTAAATTCTCTGCTTGGTTTCTGAGATAAGTGGCCAGATAAGTTGTCCGGAACTCCTTGAAGCCCAAGTCTTGTTAGTATAGGGTTCCCACAACAAACCAACCCAAAGTCCTTTGTCTTCAGCATATGTCAATTTGTGTGAAGCTCTATTCGGGAACCAAAGCTTCACTTAATTTTGAAATCATTAACTCCTACTTATTCTTGTTTTCATATTCCAAGAGAGGTAATTATCGGGATTTAAGTAAGGTGATATGTTAGCATTGTCTTTAGTTCATAGTCTAATATATTAAAAATCTCATTTACTATGAGAATAAAAAAGAATTTACAAAAATTTCCCGTCCAAAGCATCCACGTGTATGAAGCAATAATTTGAGGACTTCTTGAAGTGTGATTTCTTTATAAAGGAATACTGATAGACCACTATAACAAATTTTTCCTCCATGTTACCTGAGCATATTCCCTATTCATTTGTTATAAGTATGTCATTTGGTAATAATATCTGAGGTGTTCCATGAATGATCAAAATATTTTAAAATGTTTGATATTAATGTAGTGTTATTCATTTGTACTAAAAATCTAAGAAAGTTTCCCAAGTGTATCAGACATTGGAATAAATGATAGCAACAAGGAAATGAAATTTTCTGGGTGAAACTTCTTGTTAGGAAGAGCCAGATGAAATATTTACAAATCAGATAGCAAAGAAGAAGCTTGGATGGTGGCAAGGATTAAGTCAATTACAGTTTCATGGCTCAAAGCCTCCTTCCCACCCATGAGACTCTGATCTTAACTTCCAAAAAAAAAACATTAAAAAAACCAAGAAGCAAAACTGTGACTCAAGTGTAAAGCACCAACCTTGAGCAAAAAAGCTGAAGGACAACCCCAATGTCCTTAGTTCAAGCCCCAGGACTAACATACACAAAGTGTCAGATTGGAGTCTTTTTGGAGGCTGATTGGTGAGGATATGAAAGATTTTTGTGTGTTTGTCAGTCCTGGGACTTGAAATAGCATTTTTGTTCAAGGCTGAGCCATCCCTCCATTTTCAGATTTTTGCTGTTAACTGGAGAGAAGACTGATGGATTTTTTTTTATCAGACTGGCTTCAAACCTAGATCCTTGATCTCATTCTTCTGAGCAGCTAGGATTACTAGTGCCCAGGCATGGGAAAGATTATATGTGATAGAGGCTGCCACTGAAATGAAGAAAAAGAATGTGTAAGACAAAGATTTATAGAGAGGACATTTTAGAAATCACAGTTAAAAAGTGAAAGATGAAGACATTTGGGTCACCTTGTAATATGCATTATGTGCACAGCATGTGGTCATTGTGTAGAAAAGGGCTGGAAATTCTATTCACCTATCCCAATCACTGGTCATACAAGGGAAATACAAAGTAGGGTATACACAAGGAAAGAAGGTAAAGAAATAACTGTCACTTTCTATTGTCTATTAGTCTCTACCTTAAATCTCCTCAATATCTATGAAGCATTTAAAGAGATGATATATATATATATATTTCATACTTCATAAAATGCTTTGTTAAGTGGAAACACCCTCCTTGTAAACTACTTATAGATAATAAAAATAAAAACATGTAATTTGAAGAAAAGAATCTTTTCATAGATCATCAACAGAAATGTGAAGCTCATACCATTAAGTAATTCACACTCTTCAAAAACTTGGACAATGGCTTACTTCTAAGACATATTGAAGGAGGTAATTTCAGCAGGTCCACTTGAGGAGAAAATACTTTTCATCCAATGGAAAGTAATGCAGAACATGCAATTCACCATGTGAAAACCTCTGGCACAAAGAAGTTCCACCTCTAGACTTTCTTCATGACTCAAGTATCTTTGCTAAGTATTAAGAATATCTTAACGTGGCAGGATGAACATTAATGCAACCAGGAACGTCTTTTGAGTCTTTCAGGTATTTTAATTGTGAGGTGAAATTTGTACTGCGAAGGTTTATATTAGGTCTTTTTAAAGGCAATTGGTTAACATCTTAGGATTTTCCCAGAGGAAAAAAAAATGTCTTGGATACACTGTTAAGTGATTTCCTCTTAAAATAATTAATGTGACAATTACTGGTGCTTTCTGTAGGCTCGTGGCCCAGGCCCCAGACAATATTATAGGATACATCAGGAGGACATGACTCATACTTTTATCAGAATTATGCTAAATTACTTATATATTCTTATTTCTACTTATCAAACAATCAGAGTTGCAAGCAAAAGACGTGATAATTATTTGGTCACTTTGTTTAAAAGGCAGACTCATACCAATTATTCTTGATTTCTGGTTTCCCTAATGACTTTGAGACACCTGGTGCTGTGTACATCAAAGTATGTCTGGAGTCCATCACCTAAAAAAGTCCTACTAGTCATTTGTTAAAAATCACTCCTGGATGTGCAATTGCAATAAAAATTCATTTAGAGTGTAAAAAAAATTAAATTGAGGGTTGCCATTACATTGTATTCATAATTAAGTTGTGATATTAAACTTCATTTTTAATTTAAACTACTTCAAATTTAATTTAATTTGATTAAAATTTAACTAAAATTTAATTTACATTTAAATTTTAAGTGGAAAAAGTTTAATTTAAAATTTACATTTAAAAATTAAATTTAGGATTTTGATCACAATGCATATAGACACTAAAAATCCACAAGATGTAGAGGGTCAGGGACTGGTTTCAAACATGCAATGAACCATATTACTTAAAAATGTAGCATGACTAAGAAATGGGATATACAGGTAGAGAAGGCTTTTGAACACCCTTATAATGATGGCCTTTTCACCATGGGATTGAAGATCCAAATATATGGTAACAACATGCATGTGAAAATCTGCATGTGATTCCAATGGCCAAAGCAGTACAAGTGGTGAAAGGCATCTTAGAGCAAGAAATATTTAGTAGAGAAAGGACATT